ATTTAGAACGTGTATTAAGTATGTGTGAAGTACTACGTGTTTTGGCACGTAGAAAGGTCGCGGCTTTATTTCAGTTAATTTCGCTTTTAACAAGAATCACAATGGTAAAGTATTTTGTTGCCTGCGGTTGCAAACAACTCCAGAAAACAGGAAGTGAGATTCAGTTTTACAAGTAAGGGATATGTCTTTCCAAATGTATTTGAAATTACACTATTGTACGATGCTGTATTACAACTCTTTAATATTATTAAATATATTATTATTATTTACATATGTATTGTATTTCTGCTTTGCGCAGATTCCCTTTTCCTCGACCAGAAATTTTGAAGAAATGGATTCATGCTGTCTGAAGGAAGAAATGGAAATCATCCACAAGTAGCACACACTGCATCAAACATTTTCTTGAGAAATGCCATTAGGTTAATATTAATTATGGTTTTAATTTGACGGTGACCCTTGTTTCTATCAGAATAAGTGAAGTAAATTTACCTCAGCTGTTTTCATGCTTATAATTTCTTGCGTTCCTTGGTTAGACTAGGAGTGAAAATCATGTTACTGAAATAAGATGAAGTTCCTTCTGCATTTGATTTTCCTGTTCATCTCGGGGAAAACATCTCTGAGACGGCATTTAATGGGATTAGAACCTTCTAATGTCGTTATAACTAATTTGAGAACAAGTTTTATAATTTTTCACATCATAATCTTTATTCTAATGAAATTATATGAAAGTAAGAATTTGGCTTTAACAATAATGATCACAATTATTGAATAGTTTGACCACATTAACAAGTTTGTATGTATTACAGGCCAAAGAAGTCGATTTTGATGTGGAAGTTGATTTTTAGTGCAAATCTACTAGCAAACAAAAATGTAAGGAGACACACACAGGCCTTGTTCCACACTCACCGACCAAAGTCATCCGGAGGATGAAAATTAAGTTTCTGCAAATGAGACTGAAATGCAGGAATAAGAAGATTAATAAAAGAATTGAGGAAAAAAGGACATTCAATTTCTGACTTGGAAGCAGCTCTTGAAGGGAAGTGAAGTGGTTTTCTGATTGAGTTTATTTCATGCCAGTATCAAAACTCTAAACGTGACAAAAGGAGAAGATAGTACAGTGACCTTGTGAAACAGTTTTCTGTAATTTTGCACTTATATTTTACTAAAGCGTAAAGTATACCTGATCATTATTTTCATTACCTCGTCCAAATGGACTAAGGTCATGGATTTGTTCTGTAAAGTGAAACCGGTTTTATTGGTGAAGTTTTCAAATGTGTAAATGAAAACAGTGACAAGATATCACATTTGCAGGAATGTTCCCTTATATTTGATAGAATGTCGATAAGAAAGCAATTGATCTGGGATGCCAGTAAGAAAAGATTCTCAGCTTATGTCTACTTGGGTGGCATTGCATCTATGGAAGTTGGGTGGCCAGGGTCCAAAAATTCATAATGTCTTAGTTAATATTTATTATTTTAAACTTCAATAATCATTTGTATGGTTGCTCAATTAATTCTGTGGTTGATTGTGTATATTTACACGAAACACATGGGAAGTGCCGCCGGGGAGGTTTACAGTTTCTTTCAATAACGTCCTACCGTTCCTGCGCGTCCGCCTGCCGCGACTGCGCTTCTACCTGCTGCTCGATCTATTGCTGCTGTTGCTGCATTAGTGTAATCACCTGCCCGCGCCATTTATTCGCTGGTAATCATCTTAGTTTTCCTCGTCGCCAGTGTTAATGACCGAAAAGTCTATCGTGAGATATGCCAAATCTTGCCGTATGCCGAGAGGAAGGCTTGTCCAGAGACGTTGCCAAAAGGAACAATCACTGATATACTCGCTCACTGCTTTGCACTAATCACCGGAAGAACGCAATCCTCCTCTGCCGCCTCTTCTGTTCCCTGCTGGCGGAGGGTTGGTAAATACCCCTTGGTCCGCTGACTGACTCCGTCTTGGCGGCGGCGCGGGCCTACGGCCGGTACGGCCTGCGGATATCGGGACCACAGGATATCTCGTAGGCCACGGACCGGCGCCGCCCCGCTGTTGACCACTGTTGACGCTAGTCGAGGCGTGACCAGGACATGACGAACGCCTTCGGCCCGCTTCTGGCGGGCTCTCTCGGCAGGCGACCGAAGTAGCCCGTGGCTTTGCCGTCTCGCTTCAGTACTCCTGCGGCGGGTCTTTTAAAAGGTCTTGCGTGTCCACGACCCTAGTTTTCACAGTTCTTACATATAGCGCCGCGAACATAGAAGAGAGATACAGGAAGTGATATTTGTACTCTATGGCTGCAAACGACTTAATATTTTTTTAGCAAGATGGCGGGCAATGTGAGGAGCTGAACTTTTGATCTAAACTCGATGTTTATAAGGACTGCGTTATAAACGGAGTGGCAAAATAAATTTAGAATTTTTTAAAAAATGGGTCAAATGTGTATTATTACACTTTTTTATTGTCGTAGTGATTGGTGAAAACTTAACAAGTCACTCTTTTCGTTTCGAACCGTTTCGTTCCTTTCAAAAGAAATGGATAGAAGTTGTGCCACAGAAGAAAAAAAGGAAATTAAACGGCAAAAGTTTTCATTTCCGGAAAACTTTTCAGCAGTGAACAGATAATTGTCACGAGAAATGGGGTAAGAACACATACAGTGCAGAATTTCTACTCTTTGAGATCTATATTTAAGATACGAAAAAAATATAATCCAAGGCAGTACCATGAATTCCATGTGAAGGCAATTTTATAACAAAATTTTATAGTCAATGACGTCATAGGCTTTCAAAAGTTTTGAAAGTATTCCAATAGGTGTATCATTTGATCCAGTAAAGCCACTTCTTTAAGAAAAGAAAAAAAATGGCTGTTTCCGAAGATTGTGATCTTCTAAATTCAAGTTCTTCTAAATTCATGTTGAGTGTTTGAAAACGCATCTTTTTTTTTTTCGGAGAAAAGGTTTCTTTAAAAAACTGACAAACGGGAGTTGACCGATAATTTTAAATTTAATTTTTTTGCCTTTTTTGAAAAGTGGCTTAATCTTTGCTGTTTTCAAAATATCTGAAAATATTTCTGTGCATAAAGAAACATTGAATTTGTAAGTTACGCAAGGGTAATGGTAACTGCACAAGTTCAACAACCCGGAAAGTGATCTAAATCTGCCGAGTAATTGAATCGTTTATTTCAGAAACCCGTAAAACGCCAAATTCCTCATTTCGAGAAAACTGACAAAATGTCTCCCAATTTCTCTAATTTCAAAAATATTTTTATTTATTAAAAAAATTAAAAAATGAATTCTATTACATGCCAGAAATATCTGAAGAATTCTTTCCATTTATCTCCTGAAAATTCAGTCAGTAGATCTACTACATTAGACCTCTTTGCCAATGGTATACCTCTTTCAAGGGACAAGTACTAAGGGCTAAATTTTACCACATATGTTAGTGAAAAATTACTTTTCCAAAAGGTCAAAGCAAGAACTTCATCAAATCTAAAATATTGCTGTGAATTAACTTTGAATGTATGATTCTTCTTCCCTTTCATTGTTTTGTAAATAAAGTTTCGCTTCGCATTTCTGAAGTTCTGTACGTTCTTGCACATACTACTCAAAGTTTTTGTGTCCTTATCTTCTAATAAATAAAATGGAACGTTGTTGTGACAACTTCACAAATGGAATGAACTACGCGACATGATCTTGAATCTTGACATTTTATTGGTTACACGGACATGTTCTTTATTGCTTGCAACTACACTGTGGATATATTGGATTTTGCCTGAACTCCATATGTTCATATGTTTACTAGTAAAATTATTAGTGATATATTTACTTTTGCTCCTACAGATCAGGACAGAAGATGCAGCTGGTGGTCATTAGTATTACTACAATGCTAACTCAATTTTGTTGTCTGATGGACATATTTGTTTTTGTGTGAACGCTCTTCATATAATCTGAGTTGAATACTGATAGAAAACTTGAATTTTTTGTGGATCGACAATGAAGATTTGCAAGAGATCTTCCCTCTGCCAATGTTTTTTTCTTATTCAACAACTGATTCCCTGTAGCATTTCTGTATTCCGTTTAAAGAATTGACTATGAAGAATACGGTTGTAGGAGAAATTGTTTCTAAGGTGCATTGAGTCTTGCTGATTCGATTCAATTACGTCAAGAAATGTAGTGATTTCAGTAAAATATTGGTAAAACAATTATATCTCTGAATTGTATTTAAAAGTTACTGATTTATTACCGAGGCAAGTTACTAAAAGTGCGAGTTACCAATTGAACTTTAAGAACTTCTTATAAACAAAACAAGAAAAAATGGTGAACATCTACTCTTCTGGACGCTCTGAGCAATGGCGTACGTGCTCCTAGCGTCGGTGCAGCAAACTATTTGTCGTGACGTTACATAATTTTTTTTGTAATCAGGGGCGGATCCGGAGACAAATTTTGGGACTGGAAATTCAAAACGATATGATCGAATATGTCGCATTACAGATTTTGTAAAATGTCCCATGCTACGCTCATCTAATGCTGCGATACGAGTTTATTCGTTTCAATGATTATAAAAAAATGCTCGAAGGTAGTGATAAGATAGAAATTAACAGTTACTGAAAAAATTAGAGGTGAAAATTTCCCTCATTTCCCTCTCGTGGATCTGCGCCTGTTGCGTTTAACTAAAAATTGGAATGAAATCAAATGAACGATACGGATACTTCATTGTCTTGAACAAATTACTATAGAAATAATTTTCCTATGGGCGAATGCGTTATTGTATTGGGGCGAGAAATCAGATTGTTTCTAATTACTAAACCGAGTTTATTTGTTTGCTTGGTTAAAGTATGTGGAAAAAATGCCTGTTATATCATACATGGAGCAATAAAATTTGTATTGTTCTGTTACATGTTTCATTTTTTTCTCCCTAATGCAGACTCAAGAAGAAAGGAGAATACGTAGTAAGTATTGACAAGTGTTACAGGAATGGGTTGAAAATTGTAAGGTAAGGCAACACATACAAGACTTATCTTATCAATAATTTATTATATGCTGATATACAATATATAAACATCTCATGACATATAACATCAATGGTTGTACAGAGCTCAGGCGATAAATATAAGTCCTTTTTTTGGGTGTGGCTGTTTCAATCCACACAATGTTATTTTGTTTTATTTTATTGAACACATAATCATCAATTTGTAATACACAACATATTTTTCAGTCAGTTTTTCTCCAAATACATGTCAACATCAACGTACAGTTATAGTTTTCTTTTAGATGTTTGGAAGACCCCACGATCTTTCTCCGAGGTGTGAGAAAAGCACAGCAGGGTTGAAATCTTGACTGAGCAAGTATTCTCGATGTTGTTCTATATATTTACCTGATGCTGTAAAAAAGTGAAGTATTAATTTTGTTTGTGGCTCATATTTGAAGAGAAAATAATTTAATTTTTCATTAGGAATTACAATAGTTAGGTTTTTTGTGGGGAGAGGACCATCAATTACGTAACGCTAAAGGGGGAGGGGATCTGAGGTAGTGTTACAATGTGATACATAAGTGTAGGGTAGGGATATTAGTTTAGTGTTATGTAACACTGTTTTAAAATTTTTCAATATTTACATAAATATTTCTATTTAATCAGTCTTATACTAAAACAAAATCATTTTAAAATATATAAATGAATATTACAAGGTTATGATGCATAAATTGTTATAAGTTGAAATATTTTTTAAGAATGGCTTATTACTTAAATCTGTTAGGTTGCGAAGAAAGTGATCTATAATGTATTATAAAATTCAATTAAATTAGTACAAGAAACTCCCATCCGCGCGTTCTCCATGAGCGCCCAGCGTTTGGAAGAAATTTTCTCATTTTTGCATTCTTCCAACCCTCAAAAATTCTCCGCGCTCTTAATTGTTAGATGCAGACAGCTTCGACAACTAATGACAGTCGGCAACGTTTATTTACCTTTGGTTATAAGTAGGGAGCGGATTTCTATGATTTTGCCTACTTTTGTCCGTTGCTTCAGGACATGGCTAAGAGAAATTTATTGATATTTGGTTTGAACTGGAAGCTATGTAGATAAATATGTTGGTGTATATTTGTGCATATATAGCCGGTTTTTCGTGTTGGTGCATATTTCGTGTAATTATAGGCGCATATTTTGTTAATATAGATACTTATCTGTAAAACGTTTATTTCGTATCTATTTATTTGAGAGCGTTCATCGATTACAAAGAGCTTGTCACAGTTTCCTGGTATTATTCTTATCTAAAGATGATAAAATAATTGAGCAAATATAGGAAATTTCATGATATATTTTTTTAAACCAGGCACAAAAAATGCAAAAAGACATACAATGTACATAGGCCTAATACATTAGCGAATATTTACTTTAATTATTTCTCCCGCGAGGTAAGGTAGATTATATTCTGTTGGCACAAAATCTTTTCATTCCAAGCACGCCTCTCTTGAATTTTATCAAGAAAGGTTTATGCTAGAAATTCCATATTAAAGTTCTTATTTTCATTGCATATTCAAGTTCATATTTGAGAATTCTTAGATCATAAATTTATATTTTTAAAAGCATATTTCAAGATATTTTAAGGCATAAAAATCATCTCCCTGATTATAAGGTTTTGTTTGTAATCGCGTGTAATTGCACGTGATTAATATTTCAGAAAATGAAGCTATTTACGCGTGTTGTTTTGTAGGGCATCGGGAACGACATTCACCGCTTTTGCCATCAAAGCATTTGGTAACTAGAGCCTGTATCTTTATTTAAATACATATTTTCGCATTTAGTAAATATACATATCATACAAGTTCTGAAGTTTCATAAGTTCATACATTTTTTTACAAAATATTTATAACACTTTTTCGGGATAAAAGAAAATGTTATCCTTGATTTTTAAAAAAATTGAGGGGGGGGAGGGGTGGCTTGCAAAACGCAATAAAGCGGATCATTATGATTTTTTTTGAATTCCATAGTAAACTGCATGACGTGCAGGTACCCATTCGCCATGCACAATTGGTGGAGCCCTTTATCAGTGTTCGTTGTCGACTCGCGTTACAATTTATTTTTACGTATAAATAGACGGCGACGGAGGTTGATGATCGCTTTATTTTTTTGCGTTACCTTAAATTTGCGTTATATAATTTAAGGATGACCTCTTTTTGGTATTATATGGTTCCAAACAGGTAATAGGGATTTACCACTTTTATATAAGATTTAAAAGATAAATGCACATATCTAATTTCAAAGCTTCATTAAGTTAATAAAATAGTTCAAAAGGTATAATAAAATTTAGCTAATAATTTTCTATTTAGATTATTTTGTTAGTTTTACAAATCATGCTTTATTATAAACACTTTTCAAACAATTTCTTAAATAGTCATTGTTGGAACCATTTTTTGAATCACTCTCCTTGTTTTGAATTTTACTGCCTGGTTATTAAATTTGTACGTAAATAAACATAACTTTTTCACAAATGTGTTTTGTTATGTTGTACATTTTATGAAACTGAAGTGATGTATTGTAACACGGAAATATATTTTGAAGTAGTTTTCATAAACCATAGAAATGTCAGTATTTTAAAACATTTTTATTGCTTCTATTCTTTATTTTAATTAGTTTGTGTCACTATTCTGAAAATAAATTATACTATTTGATGCTTCAAAATGTTTGAACTAAAGAGGAAGTAAACAGGACAGAGGGCAATGATACATCAATATTATTGGAAGTGAAATTTAGATCTTTTGTGGGCATTGATTAATAAAAATAAATAACTGTTAATAAAGTCACACAGTTTATAAGGTCTCATGTGAGATTGTTGCAGGTATTGCTAATAATAGTGTCAGACAATAAAATAAATACAATAGTGCAATTACATGGTCAGTGCTAAGAAATGATAGGAAAAGTTTGAGCAAGCACATCCAATTAAAGACTGTAACTTTCTTTGGTCTAAACACTCAGAAATAAACATGCATAAATATTACTTTAATTAAATATTACTATTAATTAAGATTCTACTTTCAGGGACAATCCAAATAAATGATTTTTAAAAAATGTTGGTCAGAGAAGTGTAATTTCTTTCTCTGACTTCAGTGCGAAACATTTTATTATTCTTATTTCTTGAAAATTGGCAGATCTTTACTCCCAAAAAATATGTAATAGTAAGGTTCTAAGGTTTTATATGTAATATCAAATAAAACATACTTATATTGTGGTTGTGATTAAGGTAATAAGGATTAAGGTAATAATAACAATTCTTCACTTTCTCTTTGTACTACATTTACAAAAAATGTAGAATGAAAAACCTCATCATATATTTTTTCTTATTCTCAAAAAAATATAAGTTCCACTTATTTAATAATTGGAATATGTTTATGAATTCTGAATTCCATATAAATCTGGCTTAAGCAATAACTTCTAATTGTCCCAAATTAAAATTTCATAAAATTTTGTTTTAATTCCATACATGGTAAATGGATTAATTATATACAAAAATTAACTTATGTTTACCATATTCCAAGATTCTCCAGCTTGGGGGGATGTTTTGCTCACATTGTACCTCAGCTCGTCTTACTGAATTGCATTGTGCAGCTGAGGGAAGTTCTAGTGGTGGTGGAGGTGGTTGTTGTTGTTGTTGTTGTTGATGTAGTAGTAGTTGTTCTTTTTGTTGTTGCTGTTGTTGCCATATGTAAACTGCATCTTCTGAGTTGCTTTCTGTTGAGCTGGAGGATAATGTAAGTTTTTATAGAATCACTTTATATTTCATAGTTATTTGCCTGACCAAACAGTTTATCTAAAAAGAAAAAAAAAAAAAAAAAAAAACACAACAAAAAAACAAACAAAAAAAAACTATTTGATGACACTTAAAGGAATGTAATTTCGATACACAGCTGAATTGTTGAAATGCAGTGTTAATAGAATATCTTCATGAATGAAGCAATGAAATAAAGAAAAAGAAATTTAACATTAAAAAATTGCTTTTTTTTGTGCAGCATTACACAACCCTCTCTCTTCCATGTAAACGGCAGTGAGAAAATAAAAAGGAATTAAAAATGCAAAGTACTTACATAAATTATATATTATAAATATTATTATTATTATTATTATTATTATTATTATTATTATTATTATTATTATTATTATTAAAATTATTATAAAATATTATATACAGTTCAGGTTGTTATGATTGCCTATTTCAACTTTATATGGATATGCAACTTTCATAAACTAATATTCTCCTCAAAATTATCCTTTCACATGAAATTTTGAGAACAAGCGTTTTTGTGGAATTATCCAAGTTTGTTCATCTCAGAACTATGAAAAACAATAAGATCCTGTTTCCATAATTTGCTAATAATATCAAAACTTTAAAATGTAATAAATTTAAAATTATATCTATTATACATGCATGCATACATATATATACAAAAACACAATGTAAACAGATGAAATGCAACTGTTTTTCATGCAGTTTGTGTGTAGAAATGTATTCATAATAATATTTTTACCCATAAAACAAAAACAAAAATGAATGTATACTATTTTTTAAATCAGATTCAATGTATGCTATATTTAATTAAGAAGGGAACACTATCAATTTAACACTGGAAATTTATTTCACTGAAGTATCTTTTCAATGAAAAATTTATTTAGGTCAGAGAAAAACTAAAGAATTATTCTTTCTAACAATGGGATTTGTGACATAATTTTTAAAAACTATCAAAGATATAAACTAAGTATGGGAAACTCTTGTAGCTTTGATCAGAAATTTTTTTGAAACAAGCAGGCAAAAAGGAGAAAAAGAAATATTTTGAATGTATGATGGTGGTGCAAGTGGCACTTAGGTACCTTATACCTTGGTCCATCTATAAACTTCTAAAATTAAGAAAAATGGAAAATATTTAGGTTTATAATTTAAACACATTGTGTTTCTAGATTCCTAGTTCTTACAGACAAATGGTTGAGAAGTAATGCAGATGTTTGGTCCATTCAAGGAAATGAAATCTCTAAAATTTTCACAGAAGATGAGAATCTGGGCTTCTCAGTGTTAGACCAAAACTTACAATCCACTCGTAATTTGGTTACATAAAGCCATTGCAACTACATCACAATCGGGTAAGGAACATTATCAAAAGCTAGATAATGAAACATGCAGAAAGGTGGCTGAAATCAAGGGAAGTCGAGGGATTTGTTACAGTACTGTCCTGAAGGAAACAAAATTGAAGCCCAAGAATCCAGAAAAACAAAATAGAGCCCAAGTTTAATCCACAGGCGTCAGTGAAACACAAAAATGCCCCTGCTAAAGTAAATAAAAAGACAAAAAATGAGGTTGAAACCAACTCAAGATTATTATGTAAAACTTCTGTTCATAGTAAATTTATACTAACTTTTCTTTGTTTACCTTTCCCAAATTTCCACTATATTTTTCTCATTACTTGCCCTTAAAATGGTGGGTGGCCCGTGACACATGATTGGGTACCTTTGTATTTTGGGCCAATTTCCATATTTTTTCTTTACAATGAAACTTTCAAATTCAAATATGAAATGAAAAATTATGCAACAATTACCATAATAAAAGCATAGATGAATTTTCCATTACAGTATATGCATATTCCCCACAACAAAGCAAGAGAACATAACAAAAACATGGTCCAAGGTACAAGGGTCTCCCCTAAACATCAAATACATTTGAATAAAAAAATGAAATCAATATTTACCATAAATTTATATATTATAAACATATAATAATAATTACTGTTGTTTTGAACTTGATAATTGGTGTATTAAAACCATGCAAGAACATACTTCAGTTTTATATTGTTAAGTGAGAGAACATCTAAAACGAACACATTCAGGGGGCAATATGCATGATAAGCATGTATGTGAATACTGAAGAAATTCAAATTATTCATCCACATTAATAAAATAAATTCAATATATTTCTTCATACCTATAATAGTGCTTAGGGACTCTGACAGGGCGAGTGTAGCTATATTCAGGTTGAGGGCAAGGTAAACGTAAGCCTTCATCGGATGATCCCTCCACGCTTGTGCTGGATTCAGCATGTACACACTGGCCTCTTAGCAGGTCTCGAACACATTCGTATTCAGGTTCTAGCATAGACAGCCACATGTGTTTTAATTATTGGATGAGACTTTGTTGTATGATGATTATTTTGCTGCCCAATAACATAAAAAACAATTCTGAGAATAACAGGAGAATGATAGGTTTTTACTACAACTAACTTTACACACCTGGCTTTAAGTAGGAAGACATCATTAAATTGAAGGTTTTAAGAGAACTGGGAGAAAATTTACAGATGCTTGTGTCTGCAGCATCTGTATCAGTTGTTCCATGTTCACTTGCAGACTGAGCAACTAAAATACATCACTTGCCATTAATACTACAATTAAATATCGGAAGCAGATGCTTGGTTTTAATTTAACTTTTATTAAAAATTAAACTAATTAACTTTTATTAAAAACAAGTACTTACCCATGGCATTATGACGTCCTGAAACTAATGTTGAATGAGACATGCTATTCTTGAAAGAGTTGTTGAATGCTTTCACCAGTTCATCCTGCGTGGAACTTACTGAAGTCACACTGGAAGACTGAGCTCCTTGTTGAACATCACTATCTGTTGAAATTAAACAAATATTTATTAGTTCAGGAATTAGTTCACAAATTAAAGGACAAAAGTAATATTTGTTTTTACTATCATGTGTAAATTGTTTTTCCTGTTATATAATTTATTTTTATTTATTGTAAAAGAGGGTGTTAAGAAATATACAATTATTAAGGGGAGTTGAAGTCACAAATGTGTTCCAAGGGGGAAAGATAGCATTAAAAATATTCTAAATTTGCGCTATACAATTTATGGATGACCTTACACCAATTTGACACTGAAATTAAAGCTTTTTTGTAGAAAAATATAATTATGAAAGTTAGTAGCATTTCTATAGTATTTGAAAAGAGCAGAATGAAATTTTGAACCATATATTCTGTTGTATATTATCCTTACAAAAGAATATTATATTCTTTGAAATATTCTGAAAAATTTGGTTTTATAAAATATACTTTTGTGGCATAATACAATGTATTAACATGATAGTACTCTTCTATTTTTGAGAACATTTATCTACAATACATATGAAATGGTTATTTTGACATGTAGAAATATATTGTTTGCTCAATATAACTTGAAAGATCTGACACTGAATTTTATCAGAATATTATTAGTGAACTTGAAAATGTGATTAAGCATCTGTACTTTTGAAGTTTAAGAAGCTAGAATGGAAGGAATCTCTCTTGTTTTCTATTTTATTTCATTTCTCAGAAGAAATTTCTCTTATCCCAAATGGAAGACATTATTATTTTAATAATGTATTAACATTTTAAACAAACTCAAAAACATTTATTTCTTTAAAAAGCTATTTTATTCTGCATTAATGTTTTTTTTATTTCTGTTGGTAAATTTGTTAATTTTTATTCAATTTTAATTGAGACCCATAATTATTAAATCAGATTGAACTTAACAATCAAAGGTGCAAATAATAAACATCACATTAATTTAATCTTTTAAAATAACAACAATTTATTCTGCCATTAGATAAAAACTGCTTACTTTTCATAGCTGGGCTACTGTAGTGAGGGCTTGAGCTGGCTTTGTTGTACACCTTTTGATGACGATCAGTTCCTTCAGCACTCAAGAACTTTTTGGTATTAGACACTCCTGGAAAATGGTACATTTTGGCCTTGAAGCTCTCTTGATGAGAGCAAAAGGATGAAAAATTTTATGCAAGAAGCATCGGGTTGATGAGCTTGTACATGATCACAAGGATAATTAAGGTTATTGTCATTGTAAAGTACTGGAACCAAGCATTTACTGCAGACATAAGCAGATGAGCTGAGGCAGGAAGGAGAGAATGAGGTATCACACTGGCAGCCTGGAACAGCACTTTGAAACTTCTCTCAATCTTGAAGGCACTTATAAAAATGTTTCTGGCTGAGTTAACTGTTGTTTTTCATGCACTCACACAATTTTAATAGCAGCTGTCTTTTTATTTTGTCTGGTAACATTTACATACAGAAAATAGGAGGGAACTGGGAAGTGGAACTTTACAGTCATTGCATCAGTTGGCATCAGTATCTGTGAGCCTGGTACAAGCTATGGAGTGGAATCCAATCCGTACCTTCATTCTGATACTGGGGCTTCTTGCGGATCTTGGTATATACAGAGTCAGCACAACTTCCATACTGAAACAATATGATGGTAGTACCAATGGATATGATAATTAGCCTTGAAGAATACAAAATGTCAGATAAGTCAGTTGGAAATTTAAACTTTAAACAAATAAGATATTACTTATAGGTATGTGATGTTTTCAGAATTATTACATTTCTTAGGTGACTAAATATTTGTAGTTTATACAATTTTGATGTTTTGTCCATAGCCTAAAGGACAAAGTTGTTTTAAAAGCAGATATGATGACAAAATATTTTAACATAAAATTCTGAAGGAATGAAAATTTAAATTTTAGTTAATGTAAACATCATTTCCTTTAGCACTCACAGATGAAGGAAGCTGCTGAAGTTTGTCACATTGCTGACTGTGTAGTTGTTGGCCATGGTGTTGTGGAAGATCAGTTGATATTTCAGGCTCTATCCCTTCTCCAACACTCATTCTTGAACTCTCTCCACCTGAGACAGGAAGGCGGAACGTTGCATATGGGCTTATGTCCTCTCTGCGGCCTAGTGATACTCGCATAGGCGTGGGGAGGTAAGCAGAGTCCCGAGGACTAATGGGAATGTGAGGATCACCCCCTCCAATGCTACCACCAGTTCCACTACTGGCTTGTCCAGTCCCCACAGCACAGCTTTTCTTTTCTATTTCAGACATGAGGGCAGTTTCTGATGTCATGTCAGTTCCAGCATTTTTTTCTATTAAAAAAGAAATAATTTTTGTATCTACTGGAAATCTACTTGAGCTACATTTACACCAGATTCATTCTAAGACTTTCCCTTTCCACTACCAAAGCCAAAAATACTTTATATTGGGTGATGGGGTTTGTGACAATATTGAAGTAACTACTGATTATATGGATGGAGTTAGCGGTACTGAATCTTTTGAATCACCTACAGAGTACATACTATACTTTGGTTAAAATTTGTAAGTTTCATTTTTAGACATCAATGTACTAACCTCCATATTTATTTGCTGGATACATTGTTTTTCTTCTCTTTAAGTATAATAATCCACCAACACTAGCCACAATTATAACAGCAATACCAGCAACAATTGGTATTATTATTCCAAGTTCATTATAAAAATGGGTATGCCCATAACTGGAGTGGACAATAAGTTCAGGAGCAATGGTAGCTAGAAGAATATTTTAGTACCTTATTTTATGAACAAAAACTAGATCCACACAAAAAAGTTTGTATTTGCCATTATTATTAAAAATACTAGTTAACTAACCACCAGAATATGTGAGAGTGACAAAATCATAGCTTGCTATTGTAGAACCAGCACTATTATGAGCGGTCATCCTCAATGTATACCATGTTTCAGGATTTAAATCCAGGACCAAGAATTCAATTTGCTCAAACTTAACATTATTAGAAACAAGAGTCCAATCTAATTGTTGTTTTAATTTATATTCCACAACAAGAGATGTAATAGGACATCCCCCATCTTGCCATGATGCCAAATTCAATGATATAGATGTTGAGTTTTCACGAATTAAATCAGCATTCTTTGGAGGTATAGGTGCTAGAATATAAGAGATTAAATAGGCAAGAGTGTTTATTTTAAAATTTATCACATTTTGAGATTTATTAGACATTCATTCAACATAGTGTGCTTACCTGAACCCTGAGTACGTGTATGAAGCGTAAGAGTTGGGGTTCCTAATCCCAATTGATTGAAAGCCTGAAGATAAAATTGATAACGTGTTCCACATTGTAGTCCAGTTAGAGTGTAACTTGTGTTTTCTGGGGGAATTCTTGTTTTATCCCATTCACCAAATTCTCGTTTGTAGTGCAAGTAATATCCTGAAAGTAGCATTTTGTTATTGTCAAAAGTACAACATATTAAAATGTTCGTAATAATATACAACAAAGTAATTAGTTGATTAATTATTAAAGCTTGTCAATTGAAGGTTTCCATGCAGGCAAAGAAGTTTTAAAAATAAATTACAATAACACAATAAATATTAGTAGTATGCCATATATTACACAAATTTTACATTCACACTTTACTGACCGTGTTTCATTATATGACAAAAATACATAATATTATTTCTTTATACCTATTACTATTATTGTTGTTATTATTATTATTATTATTATTATTATTATTATTATTATTATTATTATTATTTTACTGGGGGAGATTGATGGGAAGGGATGATTGCATCCATGATGTTGTAGAGCAGTGCTCAGGCAAATGCTCTGAAGTGATCAAGAAAACAATGGGAACCATCAATCAGAGTCATTGACCTAAAGCTTGATCCTGGTATGTACTCCAAACTAGCTGGTTCTATTAACACACCAAGAAAATTTGATATTTGACTAGGATTCAATCTATGATCTTCAAAACATGCAGAATAATGGGAGGTTATTATAATGATGATAAGTTTTAAAATTACTCTACTGGTTTTCAGATTGTACCTTCACTTCATAGAATTATTATTTTAAATAGGCACATTTTTTTAAAGAAAAGTAATCAAGAAATACTGGTTAAGTGAACTACAGGACTACAATTATGTGAAGTAATTAAAATAGTGTTGGAAACGCACCAGAAGAAGAAGGAGAAGAAGTAACAGTTGAGTGCACATATACCCAATGTTTCTCAAAAAAGTCTTAAGGTTTTAACAATACATAAATTGCAATCAAAGAAGGAAAGGGATTAGTATTTCATAAGATCTGAACTTATGAATGAGTTAATAACTTGAAGATGTGGTTCAAATCACTGATTCTATATCATGTGAATTTAACTGACTAAGAATATGTACCTTGCACCACATTTCCTGGAGTTGAGCTCACTTTCCATAATAATGTTATTGTTGATGTAGTTGTTGATGGTACATGAAAATCATTAGGTGCAAATGGAACTGAAAACATAAAAAGCATTTCTATAAACAAAGTTATCAGGTTATTTTATTGACAATAACACTGCAATAAATAATGAGCTGAAATATTCATCCTGAGGTACTCTTGGAAAGTACTATTCTTATTATTATATTTTTAAAATATGCAATTATAACACCTCAGTTTGTGAAAGTTTCAGCAATAATTATTAGCTTCATAAGTACACTGTGAGAAATTGAGTTTACAACTGAGTAGGTAATGCACAAGAGGATTGGAAAAGACTAGTGGATTGAGTCTATGAAACACTCAACATTGAGAAAACTCACATTTTTTCTGTTTCTTTCTTTCTTTTTAGAGAATTTATGTGGTTAATTTAGAAAATTTGCACATTTTGGATATCAATTTGTATCTTCTGGATATTAATTTGTAAGAACTGTAAAATGTACATGAACGCGGCATTACTTGATGATATAACAGCGGAAACAGTCAACTTTTAAATATTAAATTTAGTAACTACATGAAAAATGAATGCTCTCATGGCTCAGTGGCAAAGTTGCTTGCCTTTCACCACTGAGGTTCTGGGATTGATTCCTGTAGAATCCTTGTAGAACCTCATGTGAAATTTGTTACGATAAAACGAGTTTGCATGCTTCACAAGGACTAGTCTGACCCCCTGTGAAGCATTCTAAACCTTACCCCTCTCCTTATCCCTTCCCAATTCTGGCTGATGGGTAGATCACTCATTTTTTCAAATTATTGTACACAACCTTTTTTAAAGAGCTATTTTTATTTAGAACAGATTGAATTTAAGACAAAAATTGCTATCATCAATATTGCACTACACAATGTTACTTCAAGTTCTGTCTTTGATTTCATTACGGAAAAAATTCACTATTTTCAATAATGTAGTTGTTGGAAGGCATAGAAAAATTTAAATTCTGCAATTTTCTGCAATTTTCGAAAATTTGGAAATGTCAAGGGAAATGAGATCTTAGCCATTCTTTTAAGTGTTCTTCAGGCTTTCTGAGGCAAAATTTAATCCAAAAATTTGAAACCATTTTTGAAAAAATTTTGAAAATGTTAAGACTTCATGTAAAGTACACCCAACTATCAAAATATTCGTTTCATACTCAGAGGGCGCTACGTTTCTATAAATCGTTTGAAGAATATCAATTTTGGAGGAAATAATGTAAATGGTGCAGGCACTAGCATTGCCAAAAAAAGACGGATGGCGAGACAGATAGACAGTCTTTTTGCCTAAATCTATTTTTACGTGAACAATTTCAATTCTTTCTCTAATAACGAAGTAAGGTGAGAAAGTAAAAATATATAACTGTTAGTTTTGAATGCTGAGTACTTAAGTCTCAATCCTTGTTTGGTCTCTTTCATCTCTGTAAGGAATTAATTTTTTGCTCAATCAACAGTCATAACAACTTAGTACTTCAAAAATCAAAAACTTAAATGAATTGACAACTTCAAAAAGGTTACATTGCTAAAAGTTGTTTAGTGTGTACATGTTGCTGGAAAATGCCACATCTCTAGACAAATGGTCAGTTAAAAACAAAAAGAAAGAAAAAAAAAGACAGAATGACTCCCACTTAGATTATATTAATGTACTGTAAGTATGTGGCATTTCCACATGTCACAGCTACAAACATGTCCTGAATAAAATGGAGAGCTCTAATTTTTACAAAGATTAGAGAAGTGTCCTTTTTGAAAAAACAATCAATTAACGCCAAGCAGAAAGAAAATAAGGGAATAGGGCTTTATTTTGTTCATTTAATTGTTTCAGAAAGTAACTTACTGCCTTTATTTCTGCTCTCTGTTAGCATGAAAATACATTAAAAGAATACTTCAAAAAGCATTACAAAGTATTATCTATAGATTTACATTCAAGATCATGAAAAGTACTTACATCATATTAAAAGTATAAATCTCTTACCTTGAACTCTGACAGAATAAATAATTTCATCTTCTCCAAAAACATTTTTTACAGAACAAGTGTAATTTCCAGCATCCGTATTTTGAATGGAACTTATTACCAGTGTTCCATCAGGAACAATTTGGACCCTGGTATCTTCTTTTATTGTCTTACCACTACAGTGATAAGAAACAATGTCTGTTTCATATGAATTTCTTATTAATTACACCATATTATATGTCATATAGAAGACTTACTTTAATTTCCATTGCCGATCTGGTGGAGGATGACCAACCATTCTACAGGCCATCCTTAATTCTTCTTTCCAAGCTGTAATAACATGACCACTGAATGATGCAACACGTGCTGGAACTTTACTTGCTGGAGCCTGAACTATACGATGAGAGGGATCACCTTCCCCTACAGCGGTAAGTGCTCTCACCCAAAATTCATAACGATGATGCAATTTAAGATGTGTGATACTGTAGTATGTTTGTTCAGGTGGTAGATCAAAATTATCCTTTGCCTGTTTGGAAGAGAAAATGAAAGTGCATATTTGAGAATTGAGTGTTAAAAAGAATAATAACATCAATATTGAGAAAATTATCCTTTTTAAAATTGTCAGCATTATTCATTAACAAACTAATCAACAATTTTTGAAAATTAATAATATCTGGTGTGTTTGAGAATGATTCATAAGCAAAACATCAGTATGTTTCCTTGATAAATAGTATTAATATTTGAAGAAATTGTGAGTCCCACCTCATAAGAATGCATAGTATTCTTGAAGTTCCAAGTTTTTTTGTAGCAAATTAGAGAATGTTGTTTGATTATTTGATGCATAATGCTGCTCAATTTAGAAAGGAAAGGCAAAAAAACAAAAAACAAAAACAACAACAATAAATATTGCTAGAGATCAGCCAGTGATTTAAAATCGTAAGAGATAATGAAAAAAAAAAAGATAAACAAAAATGAAAAACAGTTAGAAAAACTACTGACATCACTACTAAAGATAAAATAAAATAAATTATTTAGTTTGTGAAGATGGTCTATGATCCATTGAAGAATTTTATTCATTAGCCCATATGCTTTTTTGAAAAGATTTTATTATGAAAAAAATTTCGAGCATTGTAGTACCTATTGTAGTAAAGCAGTTTTTGAAAATACAGACACAAAATGAACCAGTGCTATTTTTATTATATAATAACTGGCGACATTGGTGAAAAATGGAGCCGTTTTTGAGGAAAAATTACCTAATAACGCACGCGAAAATTCAAGAAAACTACACAATTTTTCGAAAAAAAAAGAAGAAAAAAATGTACACGTAGTTAATTAAAGACATTCTTGATACACTGATGTCATCAAGGAAATAATGTCTATCTTCAATCCTTTAGTTACAAGGAAGACTCAGAAAATATTTTGAATTTCTGTAATTTTAGAAAATTCACAGAGTTTGACTAATATGAGACCTGTTCCATTCATTAAGGGTTCTTTACACTAACCCAGGAAAAAGTTAAATAAAAATTTTGGAGTCATTTTCGAGAAGTTTTGAAAATAGTGTTAAGGCTTCATGTCACGTACCCAATTTTCCCTTCATGTCACAGTTGAATCAGATCGATCAGAGTATATAAATTTTGGAGAAAATAAGTGACGGCTTGTAGGGTAGTGCGAGTGTGCCATGTCATCACCAACAAAAAGGTGTTTCACCACAAATATGTGTATTAAATATCGTTTCCTAATTTCTTTCCTTTATAGTAATACATTTGAACGCGCGCATAGTACTTTGATGCTCTATCAACACTCTCTTCAAACGCACAGGCCTGGTGCTATCTGTCGGCCTCCTCCTTAACTTCTGAGCCACTACAGATGGCACCGTCTATACCGGTCTATACTCATTTAACGTTGTACGAAGAACACACGTAGGATTTGTATGCGTCTCCTATGGACGAAACGGAACCAGATACGAATTGGCACAGTAGTTCACGCTCTCCTCCATAGAGTGCACGAATGGCACTATCTTCCTCCCGCAGACTATCTCGCTTAAGATGACCCCGATGCCGTAGTATTGCGTACGTTTGCCTTGTGTTTCCGCCCACCGTTTCGCATGGTTAGACGGACGACGTACGTGCGTACGCACGAACAGATGGACAAACAAACAGGACAGACGGTCGGACAGTCACACAAAAAGGACAGACGGACGGACGGACGGACATGCGGACGAACACACAGACCGATAGACGGACGGACGGACGGAAACAGCATTTGCTCTCAATGGAAAATAATTTTAAAAAAATTGGAACAGTTAAAAAAAATGTTTAAAAATTATCTATTTCAAGGAAAGTTGTTTCTCGCGTATAGGCCAACTCGGACCACTTGTGAATCCAGCTTCAGCTTTAATCTGGTACTTTTATCGCGAGGGGGATCAGGATTTTAACAGAATCCCGATTTTTATTCCCCAACGTTGTTAGCCCTGGGGGTACAGATGATGATAGTGAAGGATGAAAGGACGGCGTTCACGTAAAGACATCAAGACATGCAGAAATACACCCATGGCCGAGACCGAACCCGCGGCAGCTCGAATCCGCGGTCCTCTGATCCGGCAGAACTGCCCTAACGATCTAGGTCGTCTTTACCGGATAAAGTAAAGTTATGGGAAAACTACTCATAATTTCCAAGAAAAGCAATATCATAAACATGTTGCATACGCTAGTTCTTAATCATATTATTATAACATTATAAAAGAATCAAAGTCACTTTTGGAAGCAAATTTCATGAGGGCTGGTTGGCCGTTGTCCAGTTGTTCGTTCGGGACCTTCAACGTCAACTGTACCATGGCCTAGCACCCAAGAAGTAACCATTTATATTGACTCCAGCCGTGAAAGCCTTCGAAGCTATAAACATTTGAAAGTAGTAATGATGTTGGCATAACGGACGTCAGTATTATAACGCCACACGTATTTGATAATTGCGAGAAAAACGGTGGACAACTGAGTGGTTTATCACCACTTCCCCACGATTCGCTCGCTACGACTGTGTGTGATGGCGCAATTATTCATTCCTGCCATAAACGGCTAATTCTCAGAATCTACGTCATAAAATGCCAATTTATGAAAGATTTCTTGAAACAAAAAAGTAATTTAAATTGCTAATATAAAAATATTCTTTGATATTTGTTTAAATAATCAACAAATATCAATCATTGTTTATTCTCGTCCATACAAAGTTTAAAACAATTTGAATGTATTTAAATGATAATCTGTTAAGGGCGGTATGAGAAGTGATGATTCCCAGAAGCAGGTGGACTTCATCCACCTGTTTGAGTGTTTGGCTTGGATGTGTAAAGCAAAAAATATCAGATTTATATTCTCTGGGGAGGTAAAGTGGTTATTCACTTTCGACATTGCGTTGCAATTAATCATTACGTCTCTTTTTTATGTACGACAACTTGCGCGTTACAAGCATCGCAAGAATTCGAATGGAACATACGACATGTATAGAATAGATTTTATGTGACATATTGCGAGATCGCTTCTCAAATTGGGCGTAATACCACTACTACATGCGTCTAGCTTGTTTTCGACATTGATCACGAGCAAAAGAAAGCCGGCGATGTACGTGGAAACGATGAGCAGCGCAATGTGAGAATACGAGGTGACGGTTTTCTCATTTGCATAACCGTGTTATACCGTCTTCTCAACAGTTAGCCCGATATTCAACAATGATATGGCTGCCTCCGGTTACTTCCATAGTGCGGGATATGCTGTACGAAGGTCCGCGGACGTGCATTCCTTTGCACGTCCTAATTCATCACCGCCTTAGACAATGTTGGGCGTATACGCAATGCTCGAAGAAACTAGTATTGCTACAGAATGGCACTGACTTTCTCGTACAAGTTTCCTTTTCTTCAGTCTGGGATATCTTTTCGGATTTGCCCCACCGTCTTCTCAGCTGCCATATATTGGTGCCTAAAAGTAATTTGTATTTACATTTTTCTCAATTTATCGCCTCTCTTTCCCTAGAATTGAAATATGACTTTACAGAAAGGTCTAATTTGCACTTTATGCAACACACACCCGTAATATAAAAAATAACGTGAGAGGACGACGAAAAAGTTAAAGACGAGAGAAAGACGAAGAGGAAGATGCCAAAATAAAATCGAACTTTTGCAATTTCACAAAATTTCAGAGTTAGCTGTAAAAGTAAGACCTATGCTATCTTTAGAAATGTAATTCACATTATTTTTTTCAAGGAATTTAAAGATAAATTTGGACCTTTTTTTTTAAAAAAAAAGAAAATGTCGCAGGATGTTCATGCAAATAACACCCAAAATTTAAAGAACGGTTTTCAAAACTCGCAGTGCTGTCAGTCGAGCCAGGTCAACGAATTATTTATGTTGGAGAAAATCCTATCAATAGTTTAGTGTTGTTCGCAGATGGACAAATGAACACGGACTCTAGGAGGGACAAGATAACATACTTTCCCACTTTATTTCTAAATTTGCAATTTTCGAAAATTCAGAGTTTATCAAAAATGAGACCTGCGCCATTCTTTTAAGCGTACCTTGTTCTATCCATGGTAATAATTGAAGAAAAAAATTGGAACTGTTTTTGAAATCATGTTTTTTTATAAATTGGATTAAATTCGAACACTTATTCCAAAAAAAATTTCGTGAACATTTCCAAAAAAATTGTACGTGACATTTTTCTAAGAACTGATTTTTGAGAACTGTTTGTTCTAGACGAAAAATCTCTATCTTCAATTTTGTAATTTTTTAATGTCGAAATTTTACAATTTTTGAAAATACAAAGTTCGTCGAAATTGAGACTAGCGACAATTTTTTACTGTCCTTTGATACATACCAGAAGAAAATTTGATGGAAAAAATTGGGGCCGCTTTTGAATAAAAATTGTTTTAAAAATTAAAAATAGCCTGCATTTAACGCAAATTACGCGAAAACTTCTCTTGTTTTGGAAAAATTATACATGACTTTACTTCTTTGTCTTTTAAATACAGATTTCATTAAAGAAAAAATCTCGATCGTCAATATTGCAGTTGTAGGAAAAGTGATTTTATCGAAAATGAGACCTGCACCATTCTCATTAGAATTATTTATGCTATCTGAGGACAAAGTTAAATAAAAATAATTTGAGCCATTTTCTAGAAAATTTTGAAAATGTTGAAGCTTGTTATAAAGTAAAGAAAATCAAAATATCCGTTTCAAAAACTCAGAAGACCTCGAGTTCATTAATATAGATTAGGGAAAATCAATTTTGAAAAAGAAATCAGCTGAAAGATTTAGGCGTTAGCGTTGACTACAGGCCGGACTGACAGACAGACAGACAGACGGACGGACGGACGGACGGACGGACGGACGGACGGACGGACGGACGGACGGACGTTTTGCCGTCAATGAATTTTTCGGTACCAAGGTACTGTACCCACGGCACCCAAGATACGATATTTGGTTCCCACAAAACATGAATACTAACTACACAACATGTTAGAGGAGGTAATCTACTTTATACAGGAAGAAGATTTATCCACTTTCTCGTTATCAGAGCCCGACAATAAGAGTTTTTGTGGCGAAAATTCACAGTTTTTCGGCGCACGATTACAATACTTTCTTTTTGTACGAAGTAAGTGCGAGAAAGTAAAAATGTACTTTTTCGGGTACAAACGTCGCAAAACGAAAATTAAAGAATTGACGGAATTGGAATGAAAATTACGACAGCTCCGCATCGAGCGCGGGTGATAGAGTGTTTCGGCTTTACTAACGCCTTCTTCCGGGCCTTGGTCCGGCTGAGTTTAGCTCTGAGCGTGCATTTCCGCTGACTCTGCAGTTGTTCTAATCGGAAGATCCTAATGTTTAAATCCAAATGCTGGTGGATCTTCGACACTAGCTACAGAGATACATCAAATTCAGCCGCTGCCAGAAGGAGAATTCTAGCGGCCGGCTGCTCTGATCGGTAGTTTTCTATGGTTCCTCCAATCAATAGTAGGCGAATGATGGAACAGTAACCTAACAAACGGGCCGAAGACCGCGCGCGATCTTTCCTTACTCTTCCTTGTCCTATCCTCTCCTCTTGCTCACACACTTACATGCACTGCCACACATGTCGGGAGACCAGTAAGGAGCTTAGAGCTTGTTCCAATTGGGGCGGTGTCCCACAGGGGCATATATCTGAACTACGGCGGAGGCGGTGATCCTCTCCTGCTAGAAAGCGAGTTTTAGCGGTGGCCTACACGTCGCCGTGATAGAGAGCCGCCAGGTATCTCCGCCAGCGAGGCAGTGCCACAGGCGGGACAAACTACGATTTCGACTGATTCTCGACATGTACCAAGTATGGTGTTGGACAGCATGCAAATGTATTTGTGTGTGTGTGTGTGTGTGTGTGTAAGTGGTAGAGTCGGACACAAGAACACTCAGTTCAGATCTTTTTCGGTGACAAGATCAGCGTGCCGAAGCCGCTATGTCCGAGAATGTAGAGTTTGTTTAAAACAAAAATATCTGTCTTCAAATTTGTAGTTTTGAAATGTTAACTTTTTGCAATTTTCGAAAAAAAAAAAAAAAGAATTTGCCGGAAATGAGACTAGCACAATTTTTTACCGTTCTTTGACACATGCGAAGAGAAATTTAAAGAAAAAACTCTGAGTTGTTTTTGAGAAAAAAATACAAGATTTAAAAATTGCCTTTAACACAAAATTACTGGAAAACTACTCATATTTTCGAAATATTGTCCACGACATTATTTCACGATCTGTATTTAAACGACAGGCTTAATTCATGCGACATTTCTATCTTCAATATAACAGTTGTAGGAAGACGTGAAAAATATTTTGAACGTTTGCAATTTTCGAAAAATCAGAGATTTCAACCAAAATGATATCTTCCCATAAGCATATTTTACGCTCGAGGAATATCAGTTTTAATAAAAAATCGGCTGAACGGTGTCGGCGCTCGCTTTGACCATAGCCGGAAAGACGGACGGACAGACAGATTTGCCGACAGACAGATCGATTTTTCGGTATCAAGGACCAACACAACACGAATTCTGACTACACAACGTGTTTAAGGAAGTAATTTACTATAAAGAGGAATAATATATATCCACTTTTTTTGTAAACATAGCCCGACAATAAGAGTTTGTTTTTTCTCTGAAAATTTTCTTTTTTCCGGCGCGAATACAATACTTTTCTTGCGAAGTAAGAGCGAGAAAGACAAAACGAGTAGTATTCGCTTAATTTCTGCTTGGAGTTAATGCAAATTATAAAATAGTAAATTTTCTCAAATATCCCTCCAAAGTTTTCTTTTCAAATTTTGTCCACGGATAGTAGAATGGACGCTTAAAATATGGCGTAGGTCTCATTTCCTTTGAATTTTCTGAAATTGCGAATGATTGATTGATCAGTGATTACAGCTAAGCTCATTTATCCCTTAAGTGTAGTGCATTTATTTTATCGCGGGAGGTGACTGTAGTCTTTCCCCGCTGGATGGCGAGATGCGGCGCTGACCTACGTAGGCTTGTGGAGATTTTCTCCAATCAGAAACCTCCCACCAGCGTGGCACCATTCCAGCTGAGACATGCTCTAAGCCCCCAGTATGGTCTCCCAACAAATATGGTAGTGTGGTGCATGTGAGTGTAAGTGTGAGCAAGTAAGGGGGTGAGGATAAGACAAAGAAGAGGAAGGAAGCATCGCGCACGGTCCGTGGCCGGTTTGTTTGGGCTCCGGCATTTGCCTGATGTTGATCGGAGGAACCACGGAAAACTACCGCTCTGAGCCGCCGACCGCTAGAATTCTTTTCCAGACAGCGGCTGAATTCGACCTATCCACCGCCGGGAGTCGAACGCTAGGACCTCCGGGTCAGAGGCACTGCAGTGACATCAGTGAATGCCTTGAGCTGCCACAGGAATCGTGTTAGGGAATTAAATACATATTCTAACAGGATCACTGTAAGTAATAAAGGTAATAAAAATAATTACTTACCAAGCCACCTCCATCCAAAGATCGCATGTACACCTTATACTTCCGTATACGTCCATTGGGATACTGAGGTGGTTTCCAGGACAGAAGTATCGTTTCATCGTCCATTACAAGCGCCTTTATTTCTTCAGGCTCTCCAGGCACTTCAAATTAAAAATAAAAGTCACTTTTTTGGATGGTTTTGATGAGTTTTCTCTGTAGGGAATGGCCAGAGTTGACATGACGAGAAAAAAAAGAACTGATTTTTTTTGCTGAATGATGTGTGACGGTTGATGCACCAAGAAAATTTGAGCTGCTCGTATGCATTGGAAGTATTTTTTAACCTCGAAAATTATCTATTATTGTCACTCTTCGAGTCGCGTCTTGAATCGCGAGTATGTACAGCCCTAGTTCTTAGTGCCACGTACGAGCGGCGCGTTGTGCTCCTGCCTGTCACCTTTCCGGAGTTGGTTTCTTGAAAAAGAACAGCAAAATTTACCTTGCTTCGGTGGAGAAGTAGTTAGAGAGAGGTAGAGAGTAGGTAGAGAAGTCATTACTTTAAGAAATTCCATTATTTATTTTAAATTCAACATCAGTTCATTAGTACATACATATAATATATTTAGTGATCTAAATTTTCTTTCTTTTTTTCTTGTCCAAATTCCTATCTGATTGGTTTCTGATATGTCTTTTTATATGCTATGAATATTTATTTACATTATTTTCGATTTTTGTAACTGATACAAACTTGTATAAAGGAGTAAACATACTATTTCTGTGATACATCTCAAATATATCAGAGATATATTTATTTTGTCCGACTAATTTTAGCGAAAATATAAATAATTGTGAAATAATGTTTTTTGTAGTAATAACTACAAATGATATGCATATTACATGTATGCTAAAAGTGAACTACGTACTGAAGTGGGCGATTTTTTCTAATTTTTAACGCAGGCACTTGTTTCGTAAAACCACTAACTAATAATAAGATGATGAAATAAAAATAAACCCAAGATTTTCAAACACCCACCGCTTAGCGCTTCCATTCATCCAAACTCCTTTATTTCGAACAGTTCAGCGGTGTAGACCTCAAGCTCATACTAATTACTTGTACATTTGGTAAACGGGGTCAATGTGCTACTATTTCTAGGGCTATACAACCTTCCTGCTATTGCACTGCAAAAAAATCATACTTTAAGTATAAAAAATGCTTTCGGTGCATACGAGCGGCTAAACCTTTATGTGTGTACTTTCTTTTACGTGTACATTCGGTTACAATAATTCAGGGTTTGTTTCGACATATCGCCTCTGACCATTCCCTTGTTGTTGCATATCAAATGTTATCGTAAGAGAAAAATAACTTTTGAACAATTAAGAGCGTATTTTCATTATGGATTAACTTGGCGGCTGGTGGTTCTCTTAAAAAGTTGGGCATACATCAATAGATAATAATGCAATTTGTGCAGATTTGTAAGTGTAAAATGAACTTGAAACATTTACTTCCATATTGCAATATTTCATTGGTAATATAATACTGGCGATATTGCATTAATATTTTCCATTTTCACATACAATTCTTTTTTGGATCATTTCTAATATTAGTAGAGTGTTGTGCCTTTAAATACTTTAAGTTATTTTGCATAAACTTAGTCTTATTTTAATTTTTTAATGTTTTCATAATATATTATTACGAAGAAAAGCATATCTAGTATCGACACATTTATATTACGTAACTGAGATTATTTCCATTTATTAAAGAAAAATATAAGAAAAGTGTTCGGACGTACACGGTGGCCTTTCACCATTGAACACAGCCACGTGTACGATTGAACATATTTGGTTCGGTAAATTTAAAGAAAACTTAAGTAAAGTCGTTTATTTCACTTCACTTTAAGTTTATTAAAATGAATGTTATACCTTCTGAAAGTAATTATTAACCCCCAATTAAACTAAATTGTGGCCGTCGAAACTCGTAAGCTGCATCTGCTTGCCAGTCAGTCTGTGACGTTTGTAATGTGAATATCTAACTGCCACAATGAAGTACGCGCATATGCAGCTCGCCCGACGTATGCGCAGGTACGGATGTGCTCCCTAGTTCTGATGTCATCTACAAGCCTGCATTCGTTGAGCGAGTGCATGCATTTGGTGAGTGCACCCTAAATTGTAAGCCCAGGTTCTGGAGGAGTTGAATTATCTTCCATCGGAGAGCAGGAACGAACGGAACTGATTGAGGATGTTATATTCGAACCCGGCGTAAAGATATTGCCAACTTTTTCAATTAATTAATAATACACATTTTCTGAATTACTATATTATACTGAAATACAATTTGTGCTCGAGTACAAAAAATCATCAAAATTTGACCTTAGTACTTTGTTAGTTGAAAGAGGGTAATATGAAATATACATTCTAAGAGAATGTTATTTTAGCTGCAATGTAAAAGCCATGTTGAAGCCACGTACCACGATAATGTAATGCTTTTTTTTATATTTCTAGATGAAAAATACTTGCGAAAATTGTAAGGGTAATTTAAATTCTATTTTGCATGTAAAGTATTAGAGTAGTTAATATTTATCAGAGTAGGAACCGCCTACCTCATGAAGCCGCCACTTGTTTCAACTCAAGGATGATCATCGACTTTTGTTGAAACAAAAGAGCGTCGAATGGATTTCATTTTACGTGTAAGTGAGCGGTATCTAGAAATGCTTAACTTTCGTGACTTCATAGCTTGCTTAAGAATTCTGGCTACCAGTGCAGGCCGATTGCAGCGCACCGTTTTCAGTCACGTTACTGTTTTCAGTTTTCAGCCTCTGGGAAAAACTGGATGTGGGCGTTGGATAAGAAAGTAAAGCGAGATATTGAGCGTAGAGATGTTGATATAGATGAAAACATTGAGACTACAGAAAAAAGCATTCGAAAGGTAGGTTTTATTCAGTAATTTATACCCCATTAATGCATAAATGTATATTTGTTTTTTATAAAAATTCTAGAATGACACACGAAAAGGCGATAGAAAGGTAGAAGGAAATAGTAATAGATGTACGACTTATTGAGTTTATCTATAAATGTGAAAGTGAAAATACTTACCATCCTCTTGGGTTCGACAAAATATTGGTCTACTTGCGACACCGTCTCCTTTTCTTGTATACGCCCTCACTTCAATACTGTAATTGCAAAAATGAGCTAGATCGTGGAGTTCGAGTTTCAGATCCTGAGTGGTCTGTTCAGCATGAGGCGAGAGATCTGGAACAGTGGAATTTCTATGTAATGCTTTTGAAGCGATGTAAATTAAATAAAAAAGATAACAACAATGGTCAAACATAAAAAGACCCAATGTATGTGGGATAAGGAGAATCAAGGCGGACGATTTCCCTCAATGGTCTCCAGATTGATTTAGGGACACAAAAAGTGGATGTTTAATGGATGCGATGTAATCACCTGTATTTAGACGGTCATTAATTACATAATTGTACACAGTTTTTTCATCAAATTCTGACGTTCCACAATGCTTCTCATTTCATTGAAATAAACTTATTCCTACACATTTGAAACATCATAACAACAGACATGCAGCTGCAACATAACGCATGTGTATGCAAACAACCTACACATCTGTGAATACATCTTTTGTTCTCTTCTTAATAGGTTTAATGTTCATTGGAGAATTTTGCGGTCACGGATACACGCCGAGTGTCCAAGTTCATTGACTATCAAGTTGATCCACGAAACAACTGTTTCTTGCTTCTGTAGGCGAGATTCCGAGACTCAGGTACTGTTTCACTACTACTGTCAGTGTGTTCCAAACGCATGGGAGGATTTCTTCAATTGAGGTGTTGACTTTACAAAATTCAGAGGTTAAATTTAATTTTTATACTCGTAGGTACGTCAGATAAAACGTTCACAGAATGCTCGTAAAACATGTATTTGACATATTTTATATTTTGAGAGACAATTAGTATAATATACACTCGTCTTCAAGGCAATTGTGAATTTATTTGACCAAGCGAGTTATGATGCATTACATGTATCAGGGTAAGTTAGTAATAGAATAGATCGTGAACGTTCGCACACATATGCTAGTCAGACTCATATGCTGGTCAGTCGCATCTTGGTTATGTTTGTGGCCATGTTTTCCTCTCTCCTGTCAAATGCAAGTTTTGATTCTGGAGTTGCATTCTCAAGAGTAATTTCATACAGTCTGAGTATTTTAACGTGAATATGTCCAGCATGGAGAGAAGAAAAAAATATTTATGCTCTGAAAAATTGGTTCTTAATGATACACAGCGTTTAATGCAGACTGATAATTAAAATGTGTGTTAGAGCAATTCAATGAACGGGAACACACAATACAATTGAAATTATGTGAACATTAATCAACAATATATTTTCATTCCTAAAGTATTATCAGCAAAACATCATGGAACAACGAGTTTGGCAAGTTTCAATGCTTTATGGTGTATGATAATCATATTATACAACAAAAAATTCCATAACGTGATTTTTAAATTTGAAGTAATTGCCACTTTTTCATAAAACAATAGATAATAAGTATTTCTATAAATAAAATACGTATTAAGTCATGTAAGACTTGTACTTATTGTACTTCTTTAGGCACAGGTGTAACCAGTTTTTCAGTATTCTCTTGCTGTATTAAACACATTATTTGATCCACGTGTCCACAAGAATAAATCTATTAATTTCTTGGAATTGAAAATGAATACTGAATTCTTACGAAGTCCATTTAATGATACTCACCTTCCCATTCTGTCATTGGTCTGTAAAGAACTTTATAACCCAAGAGAATTCCATTAATTTCTCCCGACGGAGGCTGCGACCACAATACTAGAATTGTTTGGGAAGACAGAGCTGTGCATTGTACGTCCACAGGAGGTGCACTGGGAACTGAAACACAGAGTTACATTTTGTTTTCTTCAATGCTGTGGATTACGATTTTTAAAAGAAAAAGCCTTCAATAATGAAAGTTATTTATTTTCATTTACGAGAGCTCACTTTCGACGAGAATCTTAATTTAGAAACGTAAGTTGTACGATGATTACTCTGATGCGAACGTTATTCCCAGACAGCAGCTCTTTTCTTTAACTTACCGTTTTACGCAAGCTGGGAGGTCCCAACAGTTAGGGTCCGAGGAAGTTTTAGTAAAGTTATAAATGTGATTCGATTATTTTCTGTGCTTTATTAGTGATGAAGTTTGTTTATTAGTGATGCAATTTGTATTACATTTTTAGCGTAAGATCGCGAATAACGTTGATATGGTGATACGGTGACAAAAAGACAATAGAAATATCTTACATCGGTTCACAAAAACATTAAAAATTACGCAGGTGTTAATTTTAAGAAACATGCTTCAAGATTTTTTATTTTTGAACGTTTATGAAAGAGGACATTATTCAACGAAGCACAAGTCTGTTTATTGCCTTATTTGCTTAAAAGTTATTTCAGTACTTAAGAAGTTCAATGATCACAAGATTAAAACCATCAAATAACAGCCGATGATTCCAGTCATACGTTAAAATATTGTATTAATGATATGAATTATGAAACTATATTTTTGTAAAAACATTTTTTAAACAAAGTTTTAATAGTCAAATTTCTGTTCAAAAATCTCAAAATGCAAAATATATGTTGAATATAAATATTGGGTTGTTAACTGATGACCTGTTACTATTTAAGCCAACACAATATTTATAGTTAACATTACTTTGCATTATGAGAATTTTAAACATAAATTTGTCAATATAACGATTGTTAAAATTGTTTTCGTAACAATATCGTTTCATATACTGATGAGGATCTCACATATGAGATTAAAACTTCTATCATTAAATATAACTTGTGACTGGAAATATCGCATATTATTTGAGTTCAGAATTTATTTGGATATACGATTTTCCAGAAATACTATATATTTAAACCAAATACAAAATTTTGAAACTAGAAGATGTTTAAAAATATTTCGAGAATTTTAATTTTTTATCATAACTCATATTAGTAATGTCCACATACCAAATTAATTTAACACAGATTTACCTACATCGGAAACAATTCTTTACACATTGCGTTGGTATTCTAAATGTAATTAAAAAATTTATTCCCCCAACTGTACTCCCTTACAATAAATTGTACACATTATTGTGCTTGACTCTCATAGCTTCAGCTAAACCATATGTTAACATGCCAAACTTACAACACGATAGCGTGTGTGTAGGCACTTGTTTTACATGTAAGTACAATAAAATCAACTTTTATTTCGAAATGTCCCGGCCTCCCTACCATGAAGTCAGATGATCGAGCAAAAGGGTGTGTGCTTATTAAATTAAGAGGAGAAAAATGTCACCTCTCCCCTCCATGGGCAAACGGGCTGGCGGGATGGAAACCCGGAGGGGCTGCCGGCGTCGGTAGTCGAACAGCTTAACCACGCATCGTGAAATCAAGGAGGTTAAGCAGCTCAAGGTACCGATGATCCCTGGATGGGTGCCCGTCTGGGAACCCGGGCGACAGACACCGCCGTGCCGATAGGTATAAGAGGCAACGCCATTCCGGCACATTTACTAGGTTCAAGGAGAATTACGCCGTGTTCAATACCGACTGAAGCTTTGGAACATTGTCGAGAGTAATCCCGTCGGTTCGTGTTGCGCGGCGGAGTCTCTTACCGTCCTCGTCCGTGGTGACGGTGGCTTCAGGGCTGCGCGGTCCGGCGCCCGCTCGGTTGTAGGCCTGCACCAGTACGCTGTACTCGGTGAAGCTGCGTAGTCCAGACAGCGTGCTGCGTAGCTCCGTGCCAGGCACCGATTCCAGCGTGTTGTAGTGGAAGGGTTCCGAGGAGTTGCTGCTGACGCGATAACCGATGTAATAACCCATGATTTCACCGTGGTGTAAGTGCTTCTCCGGTGGCTGCGCAGAAAGAGAGAATGAAAAAAAAAATTCTAATTTTTCACCATCAAACGTGCATTCGAAGATCTAATTGTCACAATGCTCTAAATCGAAACGGAATGAAGTAAACAAAGTTGTAGAGTTATAGCAGAAGGATTATATAAATTCTCTGTTAAGAAAACAAAAGCGTGAAAAGTTTTGTGCTTGATAGTAAAGACAATAAGAGGCTTAACAGATTTCATGCGCATTTAAATCAAAAGGGATTTAGACTTCTAGTAGTTAAAAGATGAAGCTTATGACAGGCAACTAGAATTGTCCCCCATTCTGATACGAAAATGAAATTTATAAATCACGTTCTACAGCCAACATCCCATGGTGAATGGAATTTTCCGGTCGATTATGAATATTTTGTCATAACACACGAGAACACGCTTTTGACACGGAGTTACGACACCAGTACGTTCTTCGCTAAAACGGAACTTTTATTAACGTCCAAGTTCGATAAAAGAAAGTTTTCTTATACACACTATTCTGTTTGTAACGTCACAAACTCCTCCAGGTCTTTCCTTTTCCTAAGATACCGTTCATGAAGTAGGGATATCTAAGAGCCCTTTCGTGGGGAAGCAAAACGTAATTAATGCAAATATTGACTCTGCGTGCTGTAGCCAAGAGCAGAGATTGGGGATAGAAGATCCTGTGTACAGTTATTGAAAGTGGCACACCACGGTTCGTAAGGTTAGAACCATTATGGACTCGGTAAGCTGTGATATATTACTGTGCATATAAAAATGACGCAAGAAATACAGGAAAAAGAATAAAACCTTAAAAGGACTAAATATTTCAAAATATTATTAATAATTCATCTAGAAATTAAGAACATTTTTCGTGAAAACTTAATTCGAAATATAAATAAAAATTAAGATGAAAATGTAAAACAAAAGTGAATAATTATTAGTGGCGAAAAGTAAACTATTTTGATAGTGAATTCAACAATGAGGGGGAATAGATAAGAAAAAAGATAAACGAAATATTATTTACATTGGATTTCCAATGGATGTTAAGAATTTTAAACATTTTATTTCTTTTTAAACAATTGTATTACAATTTTCTCAACTTTCAACCGATGTACACACTTAGTACACAACAGTTACAGTGCAGTTCAATTTGACGAGGACACAGTTCAACACTTTCATCTTCGTCTATATAATAAGAGTTCTTATTTTATACTCACACAAAATATTTTATTCTAGGTGCGATTTTTGCCTTTATTTGGTGCTATATCCAGTTATTTGCTAGTATTTTAAAAATGATTCACATACGTAGTGACTTCAGTGACCGATTATATCAAAATTTTATTAATATTGATTTACAGTAATGTTTTATGAAGATGGGAATACATATATAACCAAAACGTCAAGCTATTCGTCAACTAAAGTGTTGTGTGAAAATAAAAAAATATGTAACCTTTAATGTGATATGAGTTATTTTTTATTGTCCCTAATATTAAGAAAATATCCTATTTACTTTATCTTCAATTTTAATGCAGTACATCATATGTGCGTACTGAAGGTTGTTTTCTTTCTAAGTGCTACCTTCCGACCACAAAGCAAAGGTTTTCTTTCACCAAAGCCCTACAAAGCCGCTTGAGAAGAAAGTTCCAAGGCCGACGTCATTTAATACATATTTTTTAATGAAACATGAAATGTAAATACTTTCCTCTCAGTAAAGCTTTATTAAATATTCCTCTATTGTGCAGGTCAAAATAGAGGGATTAAAGATAATGTCACAGCACGCACATGAATTTGTGTTGTAAAAACTTTTCATGGTATCAATTTTAATTAATGATGCTACACTTATTTTTTCTTGTTATTTGTGATGGTTTTGTAATATTATTACTTTGAAACCTGTATAGATATACTGTAAGTAATTCAGCAATCTCTTAGAAAACTCTCTTCACTAAACGAAGCGCTACAGATACGGGAACCAATATTTTTAATGTTTGAAAATTCAGAAGTTTTAAAGAAAATGACACTCGAGCCATTTTATCCAGAGTATTGTGCATTGTACTTCGAGAAACTTTATAGTAAATACTGCTGCTACAACAGCATTATTTGCTCCCTGCATTGGCAACTTTGAGAATTTCCAAAAATTGACAGTTACACGAAAACAACACTTGGGTTACTTTTTATGCATCTTTTGCGATTCTTATCTGATAAAAAAATCTTCTAGATCGGTCGGGATATATCATTTATGGAGAAAACTGTTTGAAAGGGTTTAGGCACTAGCGTTGACCGACAGACAAGAGTTTTACCGTCAATCGTAAAGTAAATGTAATTTATAATTACTCATTTTTTCAAAAACAGCTTGGACATTTTTCTTTATTTTTTGCATTGCAAGAGCAAAGGACGCTTAAAAATGGGGCAGGTCCCATTTTCTTTGAATCTTGAATTTTCCAAATTTGTGAAAATTTGTAATAATGTGAGAGAATATATGCTGTTCATGTATCAGTAGTATTTTTCATAGAAATCTTCTGTTTTATTTTTCACATTAACGAAATGTACACGTGTTTCTTAAAACTAGAGAAAAGTTACTATGTCTATGAGATTTCTTATATTACTCACATTCATCTTTGGTACTTCTTAGAGCAAAATTTAAGTAAGCAGTCTTTCCGTTTTTCGCTAATATCTAGAAGACAGTGAGTTAATTCACCAAAATTAAACACTCGTTCGTTCAGTCTAAAGGATTTCCTAGTTAATGCATTTATATTAATTGAGGAAGCACATTTAGGCTCGAAGTAATTAAAGATCAAAATTGTTACCGGTAACCGGCAGGGGTCAAAAATCCATCATACAAAGAATGCATTCCTTTTCCTGCCTAACAGATGATTATATCCGGGTATATATGATACGTCATTTAGTAGACATATAAATAAGGCAAGAATGCGGGCAAACAACCAAGCACGAAAGGTGAAAAGAAAAGAAAAGAAAAGAAAAAAGAAAAGAAACGAAAGATAGATAGAAAATAAGGAATGCGTACCTTCCAGGTGACCTGCACGGTGTCGGAGTTCTTGGCGACGACCCGCACGTCGAGCGGCGCCCCGCCGGGGATCTCCTCGGCCGCCGTGAGCGTGAGCACCTCGCTGGCGTTGGAGCGGCCCACGCTGTTCTCCGCCAGCACTCGCACGTGGTAGCTGCGCGCGGGCTGCAGCCCCACCAGGCGGCAGCTGGTCTGGTCGCCGCCCACCACGACGTAGGGCGCGCTGCTCGACCACGACGCTGCGGAGCAGGGCGGCGGCTCACAACGCGTCCCTCCCCTCCCCGTACAATCCACTCCTCCTCGGAGACTTGCGCCTCGGCACTCCTCAGCCGTGTTCGGATGCATTCAGTAAGGAGAATTTTGTTATATACATGTGTAAAGATTATTTATTAACGTGATTGGTTCTTATAAAGCAAAAAAAGAACGGTTGAAGTTTATAAGCCGAGGCGATAGCTATGTTTTAAGATCAACCAATTCCATTGTTGCTTGTGGTTCAATCCTTTTTGTAATACTACATTTGTATGAGAAAAAAATCATATAGTCAATACTTTATGTCTTTATGACAAATTATAAGTACATTTTTCTTGTAATATAAGTGCCAATACACCATCTTAAGCAAAATCTCATTGGCCTGTGTTCTCAACAGAGGACGGCCGCTAAAATCTTGAATGAAGGCCGTCCGTTAAGAGCGGCTTTCATGCCTTGTTTGGTATCGTTTTGTCGACATGCCAGTTATTACGAAAAATATATTTTCATCACAAAAGAAAATACAAAGTTTCTGAGGTCGATGTGGGGCAGCTATTCTATTTTTGATACAAACTGATAATATGTATCAAAAAGGAAAATTTGGACAGCAAAATTGCAGTTTAAAAATATAATTTAATATCTAGGTGTTACTAAAATCATAATTTTATCGTGAAACAATTTCACTAGCCCCTTGAATTTCTGTCGTCTGCTACTGACGGGCTGCCCGAATCCGTTAATTACCTTGGTGCTTTGGCTCTGGAATGGGGAATCAAGGCGCTCGTCATGCAAGCAAGACCTCCGCCTAGGCGGCTCGGCAAAGAGAAACCAAGTGTTGGGGGACGTGGAACTAAAAAGAGAAGGAGAGGTGGAGGAAAAGGAGGAAGAAGAGGATGGGAAAGAATGAAGGAGGGTGATGCGAGAAGGGAAGAGGGGAGGTTGGACGGGTGGATGGGGGATGGAGGACGGGAGGGACGAGGAGGGCGAGAGAGAAGGAGGGGGAGGGACGGAGGAGGGGAGGACGAGGGCGGACGAGGAGGGGGAGGGACGAGGAGGGAGGGCACGAGGAGGGGGAGGGACGAGGAAGGGGAGGACGCGAGGAGGGGGAGGCGAGGAGGGGAGGACGGAGGGAGGGACGAGGAGGGGGAGGGACGAGGAGGGGGAGTGACGAGGAGAGGGGAAGCGGACAACGGAGGGACGAGGGAGGGTGAGCAAGGGATGGGAGCAGAAGTGCGTTGAACGGGAAAGGAGGGAAGAGGGAACGAGAGGAGAGGAAGGGGTGCGGGAATGGGAGTAAGCGGTTGGAGGAGGAGGGAAGGGGTAGGGGAGGGGAGGGAAACTGACGGTTCATATTTGCAATAGTGATAACTTTCTCTTTAAAATGATTAACTAATATGCAATGTTTTTGTGCCATGCACAAGTTAGTTACTACTGCTACAAAAGTTACAATTACTATATCATTATATTTCTTTATTTAGAGTTCTCACATGCGTGGGCTTCGAGCAATCGTTGAAAATATATGCATTTTTAAAGTTTAATGTGTATTTAAAATCTGTGTAATTGAATTACTTTAATATTAGATTATCACACCTAAAATAATCAATCACATATTATCGATTAAAATATAAGAGTTTAACGCATTGTCACATATAAACTTATTTACAAATTTCATATTTTCTACGCGATTGCGGAAAAGAAAGAGGGTAATATTTTTCATCGTCTTGTTCACTTTGCTTGTTCTAACCAACCTTTGAAGCAGCCAACGGCCATAGTGATCCAATAATTAAACGATGTATTTTCAGGTGTGTGTGTTATGCTGGATCAAGATACATATGTCTAATAATAATTGCAATGAGCTTCTAGATAATGCAAGAGGAAGTATAATATGATCACTTGTTTCAATGTAGTACATGAAGGAAATTTTATATAACAAGATTACATAAGAGACATTTGTCTCTTATTGGTAGGCTACACCTAATGCATAAATATTCGGCAGGTACACGAAATCTCTCTGATTGTGTCAGAATTTGACGGTGTATATACGTTTCACTATCGATCGGATTACATGTTTCAATATAGCCTATAAATGCAAATGAAATCTAATCCAATTGTCTAAGTTATTTAATTTCGACTGTATTAGAACATTAGTATATTAGTAAATTAGTTGCTTAATTTATTATTCTGTTTCCGGGCGCTTCAGCTGCTGTAGTAATTAGTCCGGTAAGTTAAGTACTTATTTTTTGTCACAAGAGGTGGCGAAGAATTCCATCTCCAGGGTAGCGAGATCAGGTGCCGACCTACACGTCGGCTTGTCCCCCCGCTAAGTGTCTTCCTGCAGTGGCGAACAACCCTAGCCGGGACAAGCTCTAAGCTTCCGACTAGCGTCCCAACATGTGTGGAAGTAAAGTGTATGTAAGTGTAAGTGTGTGAAAGGAAGGGGTGACGATAGGACAAGGAAGAGGAAGGAAAGCTCACACGCTGCCTGTGGCCTGTTTCTTAGGGTACTTCTTCGGCATGCGTCTGGTGCTGAGAGGGGAAACTGCGGAAAACTACCGATCAGAGTAGCCGGCCGCTAGAATTCTCTTGCAGACAGCTGAATTTAACCTAGCTATCTGGCAAGTGTCGAAAATCGTGTCAGCGTCAGGACTCGAACCCTAGGACCTAGCGATTAAGAGACCCTGCAGTGACATCTGGTGATGGCCTGAGCACATAAGCCGGTGATTCATTAGTATACTCATATACTAGACTCACTGAACGTACTTAGGAACAATACTAAATAATGTGTCAAACTGTATGCAGAATTTTAGATGATTCATCAAGGTTGCCATTTTACTATTATATGAAAAATAACAATGTATCACGACATTTTCTAAATGATGACGTTAAGGGTGAGTAAAATAGGATGAGGTAACATTTGTTTGAGATTTAGAAATATGCATAGAAACTTGAACAGTGCAACTTTAATATCTCGTTTTTTAAAATTCAGTTTTTCAAAGAACACCCAATCAACCTTTACCTTTAAAGTTTATCTTTACAACCTTTAAAGTTAAAAACTTAAGTTGAAGAGGTACAAAAAAACACTTACGGATGTATTTTTATAGAAGGGAAATATTTTTCTTACAATTTAATGTACCATGTTTTTAGTTATTTTATTGCAAAAATGGTATGGATGAAATTAAAACAAATGATTCTTGGTACTTTTGATTGCATACATATTTTCTGCAATAAAAATGAGGTACATATGTCAAAATATAATATATAAAAACAATATTTGTTTGTATCTTTGTTGGTTCCTACTTAATGCGCAGCCGTACCGTCCTCCGATTGCGATGAAACATTGTCAACTTATTGCTTGCCCTTGTAGTAAGAATATAGGTAGTTGTGAATTTGCATACGCCAGCGTACATGCGCTGCATGCACATGCACATGGTGTGTTGATGATTTTATGCCGACTCAAGCGCCCCCGAACAGGCCGCTCTATGTAATGACGCTGTACGCAACCCGCCACATTCTGAAGTACGAGTATTAAGGGCGTCTTCTTTGCTTTTCTGCCCTTGCGATTGGGAAATTTCGCTCGGGAGAGACAGATACAGAGAGACCGAGGGAGACAGAGGCAAACAGACACACAGAGATATAAACAAACTGAGAGACAAAGAGAAACAGAGAGAGACGGAGAGAGAGACGAAGAGAGAGAGAGAGAGAGAGAGAGAGAGAGAGAGAGAGAGAAGGAGAGAAAGACGAAGAGAGAGAGAGACGGAGAGAAAGACACGGAGAGAGACGGAGAGGGAGACGGAGAGGGAGACGGAGAGAGAGACGGAGAGAGAGAGACGGAGAGAGAGAGACGGAGAGAGAGAGACGGAGAGAGAGACGGAGAAGAGAGACGGAGGAGAGACAGACGGAGAGACAGACGGAGAGACAGACGGAGAGACAGACGGAGAGACAGACGGAGAGAGAGAGAGAGAGAGAGGGAGAGACGGAGAGAGACGGGAAGAGAGACAGAGAGAGTCGCAATTTCAATTCTGTGCGAATGCCAGAGATGCGGCTTACGCATTTTTTGCTTTCCCCTCCCTAGGCAAGAAATCACAATAATAGCTTACCTTCACTTTATACTGTACGAAGGATGATGTAGTAATTTTTAAAAGTAAATGACGATGGAAGATAAATTATTTCGGTTGGGATGTTCAGATGGTAAACGTATATATTCTGAAAAGTCATCCTCGCCACAAATGCACAAAAATGCATATGCCTTACTCTAGATTGAAAGCTACAGCCATCAAGTACGCGACTTAGAATGATGCGTCAAGGATTTGGCATCAGCTAAAATGCTAGGTCGAATTCAACCAATATTTGGTGAAGAATTCTCGATAATACTACCGAAATCCTTTAGGCAAAGTATTGGACTTATTAAATTAATTGTTTATTCAATCTCAATATTATGTAATTAAAATTTCAGAAAAAGTAAGGCCTATTTTGAAGTAAAATAAATTCTTTAGTTTCATTAAAATACATTCTTGAACTGTTGAATTGTTGAACTTGAAACTGTTATCCACATTATACATTTTAAAATCAACATTTTAAATAGATTGGAGTAAACGATGTTATAAAAAGAGGCTGCAGTTTGATCTCTGACTAGTGTTGAAATTGAAATGACGCATATTAATTATGTTATTTTCAATCGCAATCCTTTTGGTAAAATAAAATTTCTCTGCGGTATGCAAAATAAATAGAATACCAGTAATGATTAAAGCTACAACATCCATTTTTTTTACATTGTGGAGAAAATTAAAAAATATTTAGAAAAATATGAAATAGTAAAAGAATATTTACGAGTAGTATTATATATTTTATTTACATATTCAGTACTATAAACAATTTTTTGTGAATGCTACTCGTGTTTTACACCAATTTTAATGATTGATGTGTTATTGGAGATACTAGGTACAAAACAGAGATTTTACATTACCTAATATGTTAATCTTAACGGACAAAGCAGAAATGGAAAAGATTCGTTGTGGAGTACCCGTATGTTTCAGAGATCAGGCGATTATCAGACATGTTCCCTTGGTTCTGCTGCTGCAGAGTTGGCATTTTTTAATAGTCTG